TGAAGAACATGGTATTATTCATCAAGTTTCCGCACCATACACTCCACAACAAAATGGTATGGCTGAAAGGAAAAATTGATCTATCGGAGAAATGGTTAATTGTATGCTTTCGAATTTAAAGCTACCAATTAATATTTGGGGAGAAGCATTGCTTACTGCATGTTATATTCATAATAGAATACCATCTAAGAGAAATAACGTGAGCCCTTATGAATTATGGAAAGGTAGAAAACCAAACATGTCATATCTTAAAGTGTGGGGGTGTTTGGCATACTACCGAGTACCGGACCCTAAAAGAACTAAACTTGGTCCTAGAGCTATCAAAAGCGTCTTTATTGGATATGCTGAAAACAGTAAAGCTTATAGGCTTCTTGACTTAGAATCCAATGTCATTGTAGAATCAAGAGATGTTGAATTCTTTGAGAACAAATGTTCTACAGATTCTGAAATTATTGAAAATAATTCAAGACCTATAGAAACTCATGTAGATTCTCAAGAGAAAGGAACAAATGATTCTAGAGACATGACTGAATTGAGGAGAAGCTCTAGAGCAAGAAAATCTAAGGATTTAGGTCCAGATTATATTACTCACGTTTTCCTTGTTGAAGGAGATAGAGAAAATAACGTGGTAAATAAATACCCCATAGTATTAAATTTAGAAGACGATCCTAAATGTTTTAGTGATGCTATGTCTTCTAGAGATGCTTCTTTTTGGAAAGAAGCTGTAAATGATGAAATGGACTCAATTATGTCCAACAATACTTGGGTGTTAGTTGATTTACCGAAAGGATCCAAGCCTATTGGATGTAAATGGGTCTTTAGGAGGAAATACAATTCTGATGGCTCTATCCAAGCTTTTAAGGCTAGATTGGTGGCTAAGGGGTATAGACAAAAGGAAGGAATAGATTATTTTGATACGTATGCTCCTGTTGCACGTATAACTTCTATTCGAATTCTTTTTGCTATAGCTTCCATTTATGATCTTTGTGTTCATCAAATGGATGTCAAGACTGCTTTCTTGAATGGAGACTTAAATGAGGAAATTTACATGGAACAACCAGAGGGTTTCGTTCTTCCTGGAAATGAAAGGAAAGTATGTAAATTGACTAAGTCTCTTTACGGACTTAAGCAAGCTCCTAAGCAGTGGCATGAAAAATTTGATTCAGTCATATTATCTAATGGTTTCATTCACAATAGTGCTGATAAGTGTATATACTCTAAATTCACTAAAGACTATGGTGTCTTAGTGTGCTTATATGTTGATGATATGCTTATCTTTGGAACAAATATGACTGGAATTATTGAGACTAAGAAGTATCTAACTTCCATGTTTAAAATGAAAGACTTGGGTGAAGTAGATACTATCTTAGGTATTAAAGTTAAAAAACATAGTGGGGGTTATTCTTTGAGCCAATGCGATTACATTGAAAAAATGTTAAATAAATTTCAACATCTTGGTTTCAAGGACATAAGTACTCCATTTGATTCTAGTATTAAATTAAATTATAATACTGGTAGGGCTGTAGCACAACTTGAATATGCGAGTGCTATAGGGTCTTTAATGTATGCGATGCATTGTACTAGACCTGATGTTGCTTATTCTGTGTGCAAGTTGAGTAGGTACACTAGTAATCCAAATATGGAACATTGGAAAGCTATTACTAGAATTTTTGGTTATCTTAAGAGAACTAAAAATTTAGGCTTGTTCTATAATAATTATCCAGCTGTATTAGAAGGATACACCGATGCTAGTTGGATTACAAGTGTGGGTGATAAATATTCCACTTCAGGATGGGTTTTCACTCTAGGTGGAGGTGCTGTTTCTTGGGCGAGCAAGAAACAGACATGTATAACTCACTCAACTATGGAGTCAGAATTTGTTGCTTTAGCGGCAATTGGGAAAGAGGCTGAGTGGATTAGGAATTTGTTGTTGGATATCAAATTATGGCCTAGTCCTATGCCTCCTATTTCTATCCATTGTGATAGTCATGCTACTTTGGCAAGAGCTTATAGTAGTACCTATAATGGGAAGTCTAGACATATTAGCCTAAGGCATTATTTTGTGAGACAATTGATTAAAGATGGTACCATAACAATTGTCTACGTGAGGTCAAGTAATAATTTGGCTGATCCTTTGACAAAGGCATTACCAAGAGATATGGTAAAAATGACCTCACAAGAAATGGGGCTGAAACCCTTTAATTAAAATCACCAGTAATGGTAACCCAACCTTTTTCTAGAACATCACTAGTTAGAAGGTTTAATGGGTAAGAACAAGTTACTGAATGTGATTGTTTGATACTGACGCTAGCCCTAATATGAGAAGTTAGTATCGTCTGTTACGTTTTAGAGGATGAATTGAATTCTTAATGAAGTATAGTACAAACTTGTAATGTGTTAATAGTAACAGAAACACATGGTAGATACTTCACCTATATGAGCTTAGGAGTGGTGCCGCTTCTTACGAAAGTTAGGGTTGCTTTCTAGAGAGCTCATGAAACAAGATCAAGCACAAGGCCATAATAGTGCTGAGTAATATAGAACTTCTCGCTAAAATAAGAGGTTAGTATATGTGCGGTATGTCCGATTCTATTATTTAAAAGTACAAGTTTAAAGCCGAGCTACTTGTCACTTTGATAGAGTCTTGAGGTACTTGTACTAAGTAAAGGTTTAACTCGAAAGAGACCTTTATGTATGTATATTAATCTCATGGAAATTATGGCTGTATTTTTTTTTAATCTTAGTTGGTATTTTGTTTTACAAACAAAGTGGGGGATCGTTGGTTGTTTGTTTGTAAAACAAACAAAATAGTGCATTTTCCTTTGTCCCACATAGGAAAGTTTTGAGAAAGTGGGCCACTTTATAACTGTGAATATCTTCTTATTCTTTAGAGTGAAGACAATGGGGTGTGTGCTAGTCCACACAATACCCGCGTGCGGGTGCGCGATTTTGGCGCGATTTTGGCGCGATTATTAGGCGCACTTAGCACTTTGCACGCTTGCGCGGCCGCGGTTTAATTAGCACTAATCCCTTTATATTTTTTTATCTTATTTCGTAAGGTTATCTTATTAATTTTTTATTATTTGAAAGGTTGTTTTTTGTTTATTAAGTAATTTTCGAAATTATGAAAATTCGGAATTATATATTTATTTATTTATTTATTTTATTCCGAATTTTACATGTGTCTTTCCAAGACAACTTTTGAAGATTATACTTGTTTGGTTTTCAATCTTTTCCGAAGGGTTGCATCTATTCAGTTTGCAACTTCTTCCGAAGGAATATCTTTGTTAGCTTTGCAACCTTTCGTGAAGAGTTGCCAATGTTCTTTAAGACCGATTTCTATATATGTCAATTTTTTGGCAAGAAAAAAAAGAGAGATCAATTTCTTCAAGTCTTCTTTCGAAAACTACAGCCATCATTTTCTTTTGTTTCCTAGAGAGACCCTAGAGAAATACTAGAATTGCTATCTAAGATTCTCATTTTGAGACTTTGTTGTATCCCTGAGGATTTTTGCCGGTGACCATTAGCAACAATTGTGGGGCAAATAAATCCTTAAGGAAAGTGATATCACGCCTCAAAGTCCGACTTGATCGCTTTTTGATTCGAAGCCATTCAAATTTACAACACTAATAACATCGTAGTTTATGTAATTCATCAAAAAGAATATGTACATTTCTAAATAACATTAGAGTTCCTTTTTCACCCCCGTTTTGGGATAAAGCATGTGGATAATATGAGGATTGCTCTCTTCTATTTTATCTGTAAAAGATAGGAGGATGGATTTTGGAAAGCAAACCCTAAGTTTGCCATACTCATAAAATCTTCTCAAGACAGAAAGCAGGATATGCCTATGAAGTACGGACATTAGCTATGGCTTTTGAATTATCTTATGTTTCTATTTGCGTATGTTATTGAAGACGGAGAACACAACAGTTTCAAAATTATGTTTTGTTTCTATTTGGAGAAAAGTGTAAAAAAAGTCCTAAACCTTTTGCATTGGTGTTAATTTAGTCCTAAACCTTTTTTTGGTGCCAATTCAGTCCTAAACCTTTTGTATTTGTGCCAATTTAGTCCTAAACCTTTTTTTGGTGCCAATTCAGTCTTAAACATTTTGCATGGATACTAAATTCAGTCCTAAACCTTTTGCATTGGTGCCAATTCAGTCCTAAACCTTTTGCATTGATGCTAATTCAGTCCTAAACCTTTTGTATTTGTGCCAATTCAGTCCTTCCGGCTAATAGCTATTCACGTGTCGAAGAACTGAATTGGCACAAAAAAAAAAGTTTAGGACTAAATTGGCATCAATACAAAAGGTTTATGACTGAATTGGCACAAATGAAAAAGGTTTAGGACTAAATTGACACAAATGTAAAAGGTTTAGGACTGAATTGGCACCAAAAAAAGGTTTAGGACTAAATTGGCATAAATGCATAAGGTTTATGACTTTTTTGACACTTTTCCCTTTCTATTTGAGTATGTTATTGAAGACGGAGAACACTACAGTTTCAAATTTGTCTAGCTTAGCCTTATTAGAGATTCAGAAATCCAAAGTTGATTATTTCTTTATATAAGCACTCGAAGCTTTCTATGAATAACTTGCTCTCTCTTTTATTACTTGCGGTCTGCACAGATATATCCGCTACGTGCAAAATGAGATGATGGATTGAATCTGTCAAAGAGCATATGACACACTGTACTCCAAACTTTGAGACAGTATAGCATTCAACCTTTGTCGATATTTTGATTCAAACTTTGTATTTCATTGATGTACACTTATAGTTATATGACACACCTCGTCACGCTCTACTAAAACCGAATTATCATCACACTCATCACATGAAAAATGTAATAATACGTGTAAAACCATAACAGAGCAAAGCCAAACGTTGCCACATAAATCTTTGTAAAAGAGACTTTTTATCTCTCACGCTTCTCCAATCTTCTATATTCATCAAACAGCAATGAATAAGGAAGTCGAACTCCATCCGTGTGGATTCTTTCTATCGTTGAGATACCGCTGGTCCATGTCCTAGTCGAAGCTCCAAATCAAGCCCGTCCATGGCGGAGTCCTCGGAGTTGTTGCTAGTGTCATCGACCTTAGGTGACTTAGAACCTCCAGTTTCATCTTTTCTGGTGTAACTTTGGGAAGGAGATGGGAGATTGTTGGTGTTAGGTGGATAAGGTGAGATTGAGAGGAGAGTGGAAGGTGACGATGAAGCGTTGAAGATGCCATTAGCGCTAGGTAATTGGTAAAGAAAGCACAGCCCTCCATTGGCGACGAATTCGCTGGCTGGGATCACGATCGGTGGAGTGGCAGAAGACGGGCATGACTGAGACTGGTGGAGCTTGGCACGGTCCCTGCGGTGCACGTTCATGTGTCCTCCGAGCGCCTGCGCGGAACGGAACTCTCTCCTGCAGAAAGTGCAAGTGTAAGACCTCGGCGGCCAAGTCGCGCCCATCATGTTCCCAGTGTCCTCCGCAAAAGCCTTAACCTCCCACGAGTCATCCTCTTCTTGGGTTTGATTAGCGTTCCACATCCACGAGGGGTTCTTTGAGTTTGAGCAAGGGTTAGTTGCTTGATTTTGGTGTTGGGTCTCTTGAGATTGAGCCAATTTGTGAGACTGGGACGTCAAGGAGAGAAGGTCATCAAGACCTTTTGCCATAGTCGCAGGTTCTTGAATTTATGAGGAAGTGAAGTGAAGGAGAAGAGGGTTAAATACTAAATGGTGGACGGACAAAAGAACGAGATTTAGCGGAGACAAAGTGAAACCCTAACCCTTGATGTACACAAGGTTTTTGTCGGAACATTTGATTTTTAGCATGGGCTGGCAATTAAAATAACATGTCCAACTCAACTAGTCGTCTCTTACTTTGGCCTCAACGCCCTTCCAATCACTTGTTCAATGATCTCATTTGTGTCATAGCTAATTAAAAATTATTGGAAAATTACTAGATGTGAAAGGGATTTAGTGACTTAGCAAGTAGTCAATTAATATAATTAATCGTATAGGAAAGAGCTAAGTTGTTGTTCAAGAACTAAACCTCGTTTCTTCTATGTTGCATGTTAGGCTCAATCTTTGTCTCTAGTTTATTTACCCGATAATATAATTTCATGAAGTTTGTGCCCGAGCAAGAATCCGATTCCACGTCGATTTGGAGCCCCGACTCAACCAATCTAGAGTCTTGACAAACCAGGAACAAGATCTTACTTAATCTTTTCATTAACTTGTGCAGGAAGATCACATCACTTCCTTTGATATAATTTCATGATTCATCGAGTTCACCTCATGCACGCGGGGTCTTGCTCGAAATTCGATTGCAAAGGTTTTGGCTTGGCAATTTGGTTTTGTTCCTAGCAAGAAACCCAACTTTGGTAATTGCACAATCGAAAAGATATCGCTTTGTATCTTTCCTTAGACAAAGAGAGCGATGATTTCACCGCATGCGTGCTGTAAATCGCAGGTCAATTCTAATTCTAGTAATCGGGCCAATCACTGTCCTCGTTACTCACCATCCACTGGCTAAGTACATCGATCTTTACTTGCCTAGGATCCTCTGCATACTTTTTTATTACTTGATCAGCATCCTGCCCACCACAACCTTCTTACCGTATCGTTCATTCTAAAGGCAATTTCTTGGAATTTACTTTGACTAGAGAATATTACGGCAATCATTTGGCTCGTCCCACATTATTAATAATTCTGCCAGCCCAAACTCAATCCCATTCTACTTTGATAGGGACAAAAACACTGCAAGGTGATTGATGGTAATCTTCTTATGACTTGTCTTCTTGCTCCTCTATTATAACAGGGATATTTAATCATGACACTTGCTAACCTATCCTTGAAAATATTTATAAAAAAAAAACTAAACTCGACAGTATTTACAATTAGTGTGTTATATTATTCTACTTTACATAGTCATGCTCAGAAACTTGAGAACTTATGATTTCCTACATTTAATAATCACTAACAAGTGTAATTATTAGTCTATCTCACGTTACAATACTTTATCACTTGGCTCTTGCTTTTCTTGTCACATTAATTACTAGGAAAAACTACACAAGTTGCGGTTTCTTGGACGAAAGTCTCTACGGCTGTAAAAAGGCAAGAGCATCGCTCGATCATGCAAAGCAAGATATTCCAGGGTTCATTAGTTTATGGATTAGTACGCACGTGAAAAAGAGTTCAATCAAGAAAAGTTCAAGAAGCCATCTGTTGTGGAGACATAGCATTTTTCGCCTACGAAATCACCGAAAAAACCCTAAGTTCTGTTCTTCTTTTTCTTCTTTGTTTGCCCTTCATTTCACTTCCTGACAATGTTTACAGTTAACACCGTCTTTTGGGGCCCCCTACCACCTGGATTTATGACAACGTAGATGAGCTCCCAAGTCAAACTGTCCAATAGACAAAGTGAATGATACAAAGAAACAAATGTTTTATTTTTCTTCAAGTCATTGACTTGAACTATCTGGCTAGCGGGAGTCAAATTAAGACAGAAGATGTTCGATTTATTACTTAGTGACTAACGACGTATTTAGCTAAGATTAATATTGCAATGTGACATTCAACGCCAGTTTATTGATCTTATCACTGGAAGGATATTCTTGATTCGTAGGTTGGCGTCAAAAGACCAGCTTTCACGAGGGATTATATTAAAATGCTGGGCCAAGACAAAAGACCATGAAGAAAAAGTTAAAACAAGGGTAATTAATGAGGAGATTTTGAATTTTAATAGTATTTGGGAAGCTCCATCGAAACTCTCCTTGATGTTAATACTAAGAAAGAGCTAGGGATTGTGTTTATCTACATCAAGCAAGTGGCGTATACCACACAAGTAAACAAAGGATAAGAAAAACCAATCGTTCTCGACGAGTTCTTAACTTAGCAAAAATGGCACATCAAGGAACTGAAAGTTTGCGTGTTGAAAAGGTAGCTCTAAGCACTTGTCGATTAAGATGCAATAAATTAAGTTTTAGGAATGAACAAAAGATGATCTTTTCATGTACTTGTTTTGCTTACTTATGATGCATCAAATTTGTCATTCTTTCCATCTTTTAGTAAACTTGAAAAAGAATATGTACCATGTATATGGTAGCTCTTGCCGGGCGCTTGCTCCAATGGCAACCGTCGTTAATTCAACCGGCCCTATTCGATTGAAACATTGATCTATTGCAACCATCAAAACCGGCATTTAGTTAACCCTAGTTTGTTGCGACGCGATTTAAACATATAGCTTAACTCAGCTTGTTCGTTTCGGTTGTATAGAAAACCCTAAGTGTCCATTGCTTGTGACACGGTCTTCTTCAACAGTTCAGAAGGTTTCCAGCACGTGATTCCAAGGCCATCCACGCCTCTCATTCTGCTTCTCGATATTTAATTGGCTTACCACGTCTGTCCGCAAGCAAAACATTGATTAAGAAAGCTGGCGCAAGTGGTGGCCTCTGCACGTGATTTGGTGACATAATTCATGGCGGTTCCTCCGCTTTAAGCATGATTATCGTGGGACCGAAGTTGATTTCTTAAATGGAACTAAAGAGAAATCACTGTGTTGGAAATGCTGAAGGACGAAGAGTTTGATGTTTAGATTGTTTTATGTGGCTGTTTAGTCATTTTTAAGTCACCCTCTTGAACAGACAACAATCTCAATCCCTAATCCTTAAGTTCACATTTTCATATATAGGAAAGGTGAGGAGGAGTTTCGGCTGCCTTAAACTTTAGTCACGGTGTTTTTTTTTTTTAATTTTATGATCTATCATAGAGGCGATTCTACTATCATGTTTCCAAAAAATAGATTTTTCTTTTCATATCGGTAGAATTCTAAAAGAGTTAAAAAAAGTAAGTATCAAAAGAATGTTAGTGAAAGTTGGTAACTCGTACTAGTTTTGCGTTACCAACTCAAAAAAAGAAGTTGATATACTAAGAAAGAAATTAAATGCCAGTTAGAAAATGAAACGAGAGTGGTAACCCAACACCAGTTGGTAGTTTAATTTGAGAAAAGTTAGCAAATTACTTTAGTTTATATGGTAACTTCATATAAAAGTTAGTAAATTCGAAAACTTAGTGAGTTTGTACAAAAATTGATAGCTTGTAAACTATAAAGAGTTGATTATTTCTTTGAAATTTGGTAAATTACCACCAATTTATCTTGAACAAAAAGTTGCCAATCATTTTTTTTCACCAAGACCCTTTTGACATTACCGATACCTATTGAAACTTACGGGCACGAAAAGACAAATTATACTCTTTTGCACTTAACAATAGAATTCTACCTATTAGATAGCTTGAATTGTATTAGTCTCGATAGTTTCATGACTTCCATGTCTGCTTCCTGAAAAGTTTTGAGTAGACACGGAGATGACCCATAAATGACTTTTAAGGGGTCGAAGAACTAATTGCAGAAGCTGTATTATGAGGGAACTATGGCATGATAATGGAAAAGGATACATTTCCGATGGTAAAATCAGATCTCTCGCGCGTAATCTCGAAAGTTATCGGTTCCGATACATAGACTAAATGAACCATTTCTGTTTGAATTGCATCAAGTAATTGAAGCAAAGTTTTGAGTAGACACGGAGATGACCCATAAATGACTTTTAAGGGGTCGAAGAACTAATTGCAGAAGCTGTATTATGAGGGAACTATGGCATGATAATGGAAAAGGATACATTTCCGATGGTAAAATCAGATCTCTCGCGCGTAATCTCGAAAGTTATCGGTTCCGATACATAGACTAAATGAACCATTTCTGTTTGAATTGCATCAAGTAATTGAAGCAAAGTTTTGAGTAGACACGGAGATGACCCATAAGTGACTTTTAAGGGGTCGAAGAACTAATTGCAGAAGCTGTATTATGAGGGAACTATGGCATGATAATGGAAAAGGATACATTTCCAATGGTAAAATCAGATCTCTCGCGCGTAATCTCGAAAGTTATCGGTTCCGATACATAGACCAAATGAACCATTTCTGTTTGAATTGCATCAAGTAATTAAAGCAAAGTCACACCTGTGGCTTGCAGAGCTTCGAGCTTAGTAATCATCCTTCATGTCAACTGCTTCTTGCTGGAAATATTGGAATGTTTCCAGCTCTAGTTCATTTGTATATATATCATTCTATTCGATTGCTCGAGCTGTGCTGGGCTGTTGATGCATGAATTCGTCCACCACGTTTTCGAGATTGCTTCTTGAACCAATTTCCGAAGATCGATTTTACTATAGCAGATTGAAACCCAGATCTGTTTGAAGCATATTCATGTTGAAATGCAGGGATCGAAAGTGCATAAAAAAGGGATTATCATCAATAATCTAATAGAAATCTAGGAAAAGAAAACAAATGGACCCTCCATTGCAAAGATTAAAAGGGGTCCAGCAGTTTAACCCAAGATCAAAGGTCCATTAATCATGTGCATCATATCTGAACCCAAAAGCCTAGACCACACCCAGATTGATTAGGCTTATTAATTAAGTAGCGGCTAGCTAGTTCTCTCTCTTTTTTTAATATTTATATTCAAATTATTATTATTTACTTTATGATTTTTAGCTCTTTGTCCGATGCTTCTCATGTGAAGTATTCTAATTATAATTAATTTAGGGTTTTGGACCCATTTGATGATAAAACAAAGTGGATGCTATGTTGCACATGGGAAGGTGGACGGAATAAAC